TCTGGGAACTGAGGGGTGCAGGTGCTCAGAGGCCTGGATCTATTGAGAGAGAATACACCGATGAGGGGCCCAGCATCTAGAAAAGCACTGCAGTATGTCGGCATGGCTGGACCTGCAGAGCTGGGTGACTGTAGGACACAAGAGGTGAGCAGTCATAAGCAGAGCCAAACTGCGCAGGATCTTGAGACCAACTAAGGAATCTGGACTTGACCCTGCAGGTGATGGGGGAAAGGTCTAGCTTTTTCTGAGACTGCCCATACCCTTTCCATGATATGCATCACCCATCTTCGGCACGGCACAGCCTGTGACATGGGTAACTACTTACTTACAGCTTTCATACTGGGGCATTCTGAGCAGCTGTCTCCTGGTGCTGTACTGGAAGATATCTCTGACCCCCATGCTGGCAGGAAGGCTTCCTCTGTAAGTGTGGCCTCCAGGCACCTTCTATCTCTGAGCCTTGACCGCCTTACCTCAGGCCCAGAATGGAGGCCCTGTCTTACTTTCAGAAACTTAGCCCTCGTTTACCCAGTAACGAATTAAGAACAGCAGGTTCTTCATTTTCCTTCCTCCCTTCCCCTACCCCTGGCCCCGTTTTGAATGCCAGAGCAGGAAGGGCTTTGAGATAATGATCCAAACCTATCATTCCACTGATGAACAAACATAGGCCTGCCTGAAGCTGCTGGGACCTGCCCAAGATTCTACAGATAATTGTGGTGGGACTGGTATTCCAGGTCAGAGGCCAGGGCAGGCCTACTTGTGGTTGGGCTGGGTCTTGTGTCTGAGAGATTGATGGTGCAGTTGTCAGGGGTGTGGTAGCACAAGCCTCAGTGCGTGTGTGTGTGTGTGTGTGTGTGTGTGTGTGTATTTGCAGTATAACAGAACATCCAGGTGCTAAATGAGACCTCAAAGGTCATCTGAGTGAGCTCTTTCAGTCAGTGCAAAATAACCCAAATGGTTGCTTAGGCCAGAATCACATGACCCTGAGGCTTCCCATCTTTAGGGAATTAAATGTATGCACACAGGTTCCTCTGGGTTCTGTTCCTTGGACTGTCACACTGACACCTATGTTGGCACTTGGGTTGGAGTCACAGCTGGGATCATGACAGTCACATGCATGTACACCCTATGTAGGTACACATGCACACACACTCACATGTATACACACACTGGGATCATCTCCTATTCATCTGCCATGGCAGTATTTCCAGAACCAACAACACAGGCTGTGCAGGGCAGGTACTAGGGATGGATTTGTATTGGGAATGCTACTTCCGGGCAGTTTGTTGTTATATGGTAAGGCCAAGGGAGGCAAGGGATCAGATAGAAGAAAGCTGTGGAATCAAAGTTAAGGAAGAAGATGGGGAAGGGCAATGAAAGAGACTTTCAAGAGAAGGTGGTGCTGCAACTGGGTCTGGAAGGAATCCAGCAGTCAGAGGTGAGAGCGAGGGAGTTCAGGCAAAGCAGCAGCAAACCTGGGATGTACTCAGCCACTGAATCCTGATGCAGCTGGAGCAAAAGACAAAGGGAAAAGAGAGTGGGGAAGTTGGGGTGAGCTAGGTCTGCAGGACCTATGAGAACAGGTTCCACGTGGCTCAGTCAGCAGGGGAGAGAGCCTGGAGTTGGACAGGGGAGAGTGGCACGGCCCCCCAGGGCAGCCGTGGGGAGGATGCAGTGCAGTGTGGGAAGCTGTGGAGACAGAGACCTGCTGGTGAGAGCTGTCACAGAGGCCAGCCTGAGTGATGAGACAGGCCTGAACTAGGAAGGCAAAGAGAGCAGAGGGAACAGGGACAGGCCCAAGCGACAACGAAGATGTAGACTTGGGCAAACTCATCAGTCTTCTGAGCCAAAGTGCCAGCAAGATGACAGCAAGGCCTGGTATTTCCTCAGCACAGGCTCCCCCAGTCTTCAGGGTTCCTTGTCCTAGATATAATCAGTCTCACTGTGACAGACGGTCCTGTGTACAAGGGGGTAAAGTACCTCAGTCATGACCAGATTGTTTATTCATTTATTATCTCTTACCTCGGTTCAGTAAATGTTTTATGTGACAGGGCCGGGAGGTGGCATGGTGGTTAAAGGCAGCGCTGGACTCCCACATGGCCTACCATGGTTCAAGTCCTGGACCTGGTGGCTTGCTTTCTCACTTTCTCTCTCTCTCTGTCTGTCTCTGATCAAACTGGAAAATAATAGTAATAATAAAGTTAAAATAATTCTTTAAAAATGTTAAGCAAAATCAATCAATCAATCAAATGAAAAATCAACAGGACATAGATTTTTTGTTTTTATTTTTTTGTTTTTTTTGTTTTTTTTTTTGTCTTTTGGGTTTTTTTAAGGAGAAAGAAAAATCAGGATAGGGAGGCTAAAACCAAGTACTATATCAGCCTATACTTCTGGTTCTGAGTTTCCTAGAAGCAAAGATGAAATTTGATCAGTGACATTAGATAAAAATAAAAACTAGATTAAAAGATGAAAAATAAATCACTTAGAAGAAGCACAGCGGCTATTGGTATTCGAATTGTGCATATCTTCATCAGGTAACTAAGCAACTTAATGATCAAGGTTCTCAACAGTGCCCATAGAGTCGATGAAGCAGTGAATCTTATAATGTTCTTTTTCCATGGTGTCAAAAGCTTCACACCAAAATGTAACTGAGTTAAAAGCTCCTGAGGGTACTAGCAGTTGACGTAATGGCCATGTCGCTGGACTCCCATGTAGCCGACCGTGGTTCGGGTCCCGGACCTGGTGGCTTGAACTCATGTCGGGAGCATGTGCGTGCGTGCCCAAGATCCCTAGAGGAGAATGGAGGAGAAGGGACTGTGGTGTGGCCATCCCCCGTTGGGGGTGATTTCTTGCTTTCTGTCTCTGTCTCTCTCTCTCTGTCTGTCTGGCAAGTGCATGTGCCCTATAGCAAAAACC